TTCTAAGCACAGGGTTTAATGCTCAAGAAAGCTCCGTGAAAGTAAAGGAAAGAAGAACTTAAAGGAGATCAACTCATCCATGGCAATATCCTCTGACCTGCTGACCAGATTTCTATCAATAAAAGTTCATTTATTTAAGATAAGATGCTGTGTTTCTAGGTCCTCGTTAAAATCCACATCCCTCTTGGAAGATTAAACTTAGGCTATTTGCAACCTAATGCATTAATTAGAATTAGTGTGTAATCTGTCACTTTGAAAACTCAAAACAAAATCTTGAAGCAAAGAAAGTGAGGCAATGAACTCCTAAATTCTAGGTTTGGGGTGTATGGGGAATTGGCAAAGGAGGTTAGATCCAACTGTGTCTAGCATGGACTGCTGATGATCAGAAAGGAAGTGAGGTGGGAGGGGACCAGGGACACATTTTAACATTGTCCTTAGTCTTCCTTGGCCTGTTGTATCTACAAATAGCTGTGTTTCTAAAGGAGGCCTATCCATCTCAATGGTTTACTTTNTCAAGTAAGAGCTACTTAATTTAATCTTCTAGTTAAAAGAAAATTTATGTGGGACCTATGTACAATGCTAATTATTCAGTAATGGTAGAGGCAATATTTTAACTCAAGCTATTATACTTTCTTATATCAGAACACAAAATCATGCATCACAAAATGGTTATTTTTAATTTTTTTTAAAATTTTAATTTACCAAAAAACTGAACAGGTGGTTCAGAGAGTTCCCATGTACCAGGTCCCTATCACCTGCAATGCAGATTCCCCTGACATTTGTGTGGTATGTATGTTACAACTAATGGACCAATGTTGGCAATTGTTAACTGAAGACCACAGTCTACATTAAGGTTAACCCTTTTTTTATACTTCCATATATTTGACAAATTCATGTCATGTATACACATTACAGTATCATATAGGATATTTTACTACCCTAAAAATCCCCTAAACTTCACCTATTCATCATTCCCCCACTATCCCTACTTCAAACCCTAGGTAACCACTGATCTTTTGCTATTTCTATAGTTGTGCCTTTTCTAGATGTCATACTGTTGGAATCATAAAGCATATAGCCTTTTCAAACTGGTTTTTTCACTCAGCAGTATGCATTTAAGATTTCTTCATGAGTTTTTTATGTCTTGTAGATCACTTATTTTTATTGCTGAACAATATTCCACTGTCTAGATGTACCACAGTTTATTTATCCATTCACTTATTGAAGAACAACTTGGTGGTTTCCATGTTTTGGTGATTATGAATAAATCTCCTATAGACATCTAAGTGCAGATTTTCATCTGGACATACATTTTCAACTCTATTGGGTAAATACTGTGAACATTGTCAGAATCAAAATGGAGTCACTTGTGTCGAAATAAAATCCTGACAAGTAGAGCTGGGGAAGGCCATGAAAGTAGGGTTCTCATGCACAAATGCCTGACAACAAAAACTATCACAAAGGACTCTGCAAAACCATGACCTCGCACAAAGGTCATCACAACTTTACACAAAAAATACTTCTGCAAAAACATCTGCTTAGCAACCTTCTGTCCAACCTTGAACTGGCATTACCCTTGTCATTGTTCCTTGTAGCCAAGCATAATTATCCCTTAACAATTACCTAATCTTCCACCTTTTTTCCTTTAAAACCCTTCGTCTTCCTTTACCTTCCTGAATACTCACATAGTTAACAATGGTATGCATATTCCTTGGCAATGTTATATTCCCAACTAAACTCATTATTTTTTAGAGAACCTTTTTCCATTTGCTATTTAGATTAACAATACCTTGGAGTGGGATTGCTAAATTGTATGGTAAAACTAGGTACTTCTGTAAGAAGTTGCCAAACTGTCTCCCTAAGTGGCAGTATAATTTTTCATTCCCACCAGCAATGAAAGATAGTTCCTGTTGCTCCACATCCTCACCAGCATCCAGTATTGCCATTTTTTTTTTTTTTGGATTTTAACTGTTCTAACAGGTGTGTAGTGGTATATCAAAGGTTTTTTGTTGTTTT